TTAGAGTAATCAGTCATTTATCTTATGATTAGTGCTTTTGAGGCAGGAGAATAGGGTCTGGAGGCAAGAAGCCTAAGGCCAATTTGCACCAACTTCCTAGAACTGAATCAAAAGAAAAACCCCAATTTACCATGCCCAGGTAACAAAGGGATCAGAGGCTACTCCCTTTGCAACCTCCCACCCGCCTCTGTGTGGCAGATGAAAAATGGAAAGTCGGCCGGGCGCGGTGGCTCAAGCCTGTAATCCCAGCACTTTGGGAGGCCGAGACGGGCGGATCACGAGGTCAGGAGATCGAGACCATCCTGGCTGACACGGTGAAACCCCGTCTCTACTAAAAAATACAAAAACTTAGCCGGGCGAGGTGGCGGGCGCCTGTAGTCCCAGCTACCTGGGAGACTGAGGCACGAGAATTGCTTGAGCCCCCCGGGAGGTGGAGCTTGCAGTGAGCTGAGATCCGGCCACTGCACTCCAGCCTGGGCGACAGAGTGAGACTCAGTCTCAAAAAAAAAAAAAAGAAAAGAAAAATGGAAAGTCATCTGTATTAGTCTGTTTTCACACTGATAAAGACATCCTGATAAAGGTATCATGATAAAGACATCCCTGAGACTGGGCAATTTACAAAAGAAAGAGGTTTATTGAACTAACAGTTACACTTGACTAGGGAGGCCTCACAATTATGGCAGAAGGCAAGGAGGAGCAAGTCACATCTTCTGTGGATGGCAGTAGGCAGAGAGAGAGCTTGTGCAGAGAAACTCCCATTTTTAAAACCATAGGATCTTGTGAGACCCATTCACTATCATGAGAACAGCACGAGAAAGACTTGCCCCCATGATTCAGTCATCTCCCATCTGGTCTCTCCCACAACACCTGGGAATTAGGGGAGCTACAAGATGAGATTGGGTGGGGACACAGAGCCAAACCATATCAATCTCTGATTGGTCCCCTCTTGCAACCAATCAGGCTGGTAGCAGGTCTAGTCTTCATTTGCATTGGGATATAACTTTGTTACTTCACTTCAGCCTCTGGTCCCTTCCCACAACCAATCAGACATTTGCATAGAGTGTAACTTTGTAACTTCACTTCAGTCACTGATTGGTCACCTTCCACAACCAGTCAGACTGGTTGTGGGCCTCTCCTTTATTTACATAGGGTGTAAACCAAGTCACCAATGGGAAACCACTAGAGATTATTTAAAACCCAGAAAATTTTCTTGAGCAGCCAGCTTGAGCCTGCTCCCACTCCATGGAGTATACTTTCATTTCAATAAATCTGTGTTTTTGTTGCTTCTTTATTTCATAGCTTTGTTATGCATTTCTTCCAATTCTTTGTTCAAAACACCAAGAACCTGGATGACTTGTAGTCAAGGCCCTCCACTGGTAATGCTTTTAAAAAGGAAATCCTTTCTTACCTTGAAGTGATAAGAAATATTTCTATATTTTCTTTAAATTTTTTTAAGTTTTTGCTCTTAAAATTTAACTTCTTAAGCCATATGGATTTTTTTTTTCTTATGGATAGAAAATTTTCTTGCACCTTTTAGAAAAGAGTCCTTCTGTTCCTCAGATTCGTGATGCCATCTCTGTTGTTTCCTTGGCTCTGTGTCTATAAGCTCTGCTGTTTTCCACTAGCAAAGTCATCTATCCCTGCATCAATACCAACTTCCTTACTTACATAGCTGTAAAATGTCTTTTGATACTTTCCCATCACTGCTTTATTATTCTTTAGGAATGCCTTGGTTATTCCTGAGGTTTTTAATCTTTCAAGTGAGTTTTAGAATCAGCTAGTCAAGTTCTGATTTAAAAAAACTTGTGGTTTTCGATAGGTTTGGTATTTTGACAGAAATATCGAATCAACAGCTCTACTTGGAGAAAGATGACTTTCTTACAATATTGAATCTTTCTAGCTGTAAACATAATAGACTATCCATTTATTTAAGTCTCATTAATATTTTATAGTTTCATAATTTTCTTAAAAGTCTTCACATTTTTTGTTAGTTTTATTCCTAGGTATCTTACAAGTTTTTTTGCAGTTTAATTTTTTTTGCAAAACATAATGGTACAAAATTTTATTTTCTATGTTAGTATATGTTAGAATATTTATCTTGTATTCAGTTGCTCTGAAAAACTCAGTTGTAACAAATCACATCTGCATAATTTTAAGTTTTCTTTTGAACAATCACATAATCTATGAATAATGACAATTTTATTTCTGTCTTTTCAATTTTTATACCTTTTATTTACTTATCTTACTACTCTGACTGGAATTTCAGTACAGGCTGAGTAAGAGTATAATAAATCATCTTTGTGTCGCTTCTGATTTTAAAGATTATTCTTTTAAAATTTCACCATTAACAATCATATCTGTCAGGCGCGGTGGCTCATGCCTGTAATCCCAACAATTTGGGAGGCCAAGGTAGCAGATCACTGAAGCCCAGGGGTTCAAGACCAGCCTGGGCAACATGGCAAGACCTGTCTCTATAAAAAGCACAAACGTTAGCCAGGTGTGGTGGCAGGGCCCTGTAGGCCCATCTATTGGCATGCTGAAGTGGGAGGATCACTCATGCCTGGGAGTTTGAAGCTGCACTGAGCTGTGATCACTCCACTGCACTTCAGCCTGGGTGACAGACACAGTGAGACCTTATCTAAAAAAAAAAAAAAATTATGTTAACTATAGGTTTTTAGGTATATAACTTTATAGGTTTTGAAAATTTCTGTTATTTTGACAAAAGTGTTTAATCATAGATGAATATTATATAAGATACTTTTTCTGCATTATTTGAAATGGTCATGTTTTTTCATCTTTAATTAATGCAGTATATGATGTTTACACGTGTTTAGATAGTCCAAGTAAAATTACAGAACTGTTGTAATTTTATTATTATCATTTATTTGTTTATTGAGACGGAGTCTCACTCTGTTGCCCAGGCTGGAGTGTAGTGGCACGATCTCGGCTCACCACAACCTCTGCCTCCTGGGTTCAAACGATTCTCCTGTCTCAGTCCCCCGGGTAGCTGGGATTACAGGCGTGCGCCACCACACCTGGCTACGTTTTTGTATTTTTAGTAGAGACAGGGTTTCACCACGTTAGCCAGGCTGGTCTCAAACTCCTGACCTAAGGTGATCCGCCCGCCTCGGCCTCCCAACATTTATTATTATTTTTGTAGAGATAGAGCCTTGCTATGTTGCCCTGGCTTCTCTCAAACTCCTGGCCTCAAGTAACCCTCGGCCTCAGTCTCCCAAAGTATTGGGATTACTGGGTGTGAGCTGCTGTGCCAAACTATTCATACACCACATTTCTCAAAACCTACTCTTTTCTGCCCCGAATCTTTCTCTAACTGTGGCCCCCAAATTGAGATTTTAATATGACAGTATGTGAAACGTAATGGGTAAATCAATCATGTTTTCTTTTAATTTACTATAGTTCCCTTGCCAATTTCAAACCACCCTTGAGTTTCTGAGGTATAATAATTCAAGTTAGTTCTTCCTTGTTTCTAATATCTGCACCTTTGTTCATCAATGAGAGTGACCTGCACTTTTCCTCTCTTACACTGTTCTTTCGGGTTTGGGGATCAATGTCATAGAGGTTTCGTAGGATGGGTTAGAGAGTATTCCTTTTTTTTCTTCCTTTTTTCTTTTATTTTTCTTTCTTTCTTTTTTCTTTCTTTCTTTCTTTCTTTTTTTTTTTTTTTTTTGAGACAGTCTCACTCTGTTGCCCAGGCTGGAGTATAGTGGTGTGATCTTGGCTCACTGCAAATTCCGCCTCCCGGTTCAAGCAATTCTCATGCCTCAGCCTCCCAAGTATCTGGGATTACAGGTGTGTGCTACCGCGTCCAGTTAATTTTTGTATTTTCAGTAGAGGTGGGGTTTCGCCATGTTGGCCAGGCTGGTCTTGAACTCCTGGATTTAGGTGATCCTCCTGCCTTGTCCTTCCAAAGTGCTGGGGTTACAGGTGTGAGCCACCATGCCTGGCCTCCGTTACTTTTTCTTGAAAATTTTTGCATAAATTTGAACATTCTGTTTCAAAAGTTAAGTATATTTTGTGTGTAAAACCCTCAAGTCTTTCTTGATATTTTCTTTGTGGAAATACTTTTATCTTCCAATTAAATTTATGTAAGATTATAGGAACTTCTTCTTAATTTTGATAATTTTATTTTTCTAGGAGTTTGTTCACTTGGTTTAGGTCTTGTTAGTCATTCTGTGTCCACAGAAAGTAGATCTACTGAGGCTTTCCTATGTGCTTGTAAAAGCCTTGATATAAGAGGACTGTAGGCTCCTTATCGTCTTTTTCATCCTTTATAGGTATCATCTGTTCGCATTCTGGTCAGCTAGACGGCTGATCAACTTTCATATATGTGCAGTTCAGCTGACTGTCCTCTTAACTCATATTTCTAGAAAGATATTTTTCTTATTTCCTCAAAGCTGATTGTCTTAGATTTTTCAACAAGAATAAGTGAGGTGTTTCTTAGCTGTCCCCACCCCGCCCAACTTACCCTGTTGTATGGTGAATAAAATTATTAGTTTAATGATTTAGCATCAGAAAATAACCAGTTATTATTTTGAATTTGGATTATATGGCGTGGTACTGCAGCTACAAAAAGTCATTTAAAAAGAAAAAAGATAAACAATAGTAATAACAAAACCTTAATACTTTTAAAATATCTTCTTAACATTTTATCTTCTAAAACTTAAATGCATAGAAATGAGCAACATTTTATTCAGTGGGAACCTTCTGGATAATCTATCTCCATATAAAAGGATAACTCAGGAATTAAAGTAATTCTTTTAGATCTTTCAAGAGAATAGATTATAATTCCATGATAAGTAATTAACTATCTAATTTATTGTCATTAAAGAGTGTCCATTTATTAGTTATGTTCAATGTCAAGTGTAACCAGGCATGGTGATACTCATCTTAGGAATGAGCTAAGAGTGTGCAGTAACAGCCTGAAATTCATGTTTTCATAGAAACATGGAATCCATTGATATGTTGAAAATGTTTTGCAGGAAGAAGCTGTTTGTTTCGATTCTGAGCTGGATGAACATATTAAGTGGTTCCAGCAAGAATATGTGAAAACAGAAAAGGACTGGAGAGAAATTGACAAGAGAATGAGCCAAACTTTGGAAATAAGAAGAAAGATGATTGGCAGCCGAACACCTCTGAAGGACATTCTTAAACTGTTTCCTTTCTTGAAGTGCCCTTATCAGGTATCTTTAGTCACTTTATTCTCATCTCCGCTAAAGGTACTGTATAGGTATATTATGTGTGTATATATGACTATATATATATATATTAATATATATCACACACATACACCATATATATTTTTAATATTTTTAAATATATATATATATATTTTTTAGACAGAGTCTTGCTCTGTGCTCAGGCTGGAGTACAGAGGTGCGATCTCAGCTCACTGCAACCTCTGCCTCCCAGGTTCAAGCGATCTCTCCTGCCTCAGCCTCCTGAGTAGCTGGGACTACAGGTGTGTGGCCACCATGCCTGACTAATTTTTTGTATTTTCAGTAGAGATGGAGTTTCACCATTTTGACCAGGCTGGTCTTGAACTCCTCACCTCAGGTGATCTGCCTGCCTCGGCTCTCAAAGTGCTGGGATTACGGTGTCCAAATGGATTTTTCCCTCTTTCCTCTTGAGTGGTAACAGGACAGCATAGCGAGACAGTGGGGTGAATCTCAGTGGGATGTGAGGCCCAAAGGGCTGCAACCAGAGTCATTTGATAGGAGTTTCAGGAAGCGGACCCTCCCCACCCACCTCTTTCCTAACCTGAAAAGAGAATATTAAAAAAAAAAAAAGAATTTCAGTAAGCGTATCCAGATAATAGGCCACTGGCTGCCTTCAGAACTAAAGAGTTCTCTGTCATTGGACATATTGTGGGGCGGTGGTGATCATCACTTAGGGGCATTTTTGAGAATGTGAATCATTATCCCCTGTCTACTTTTATATAATCAAGGAGTTTATTAAGGAACTGTTATTATGCATCCTTGCTAAAAATATGTGTTCCTTTATGATCCCACATAATTCATAACGTGTTTAAAAATACATGAAATTAGCGCGGGCGAGGCGGGTGGCTCACGCCTGTAATCCCAGCACTCTTGGGAAGGCTGAGGTGGGTGGATTGCCTTGAGTCCAGGAGTTCAAAGACCTGCCTGGGAACCTGGGTAAAACCCCATCTCTACTAAAGTACAAAAATTACCCCGAGCTTAGTGGTGCATGCTGTAGGTCCCACTATTCTGGGAGACTAAGCAGGAGATCACCTAGCTAGGGAGTCAAGCTGCAGTGAGCCACGATTGGGCCCACTGTACTCCAAACCTGGTGACACAGTGAGACCCTGTTCAAAGAAAAAAAAAATTATATATATATATTTATGAAATGTAATGGGTGAATCAATCAAATACCCTTCCATTTAGTTCACTTAGAGTGGCCATTCAAGGGTCTTTCACCATTTTAGGGTAATTTTTGGTGGTGGTATATAATGAAAGATCATCAAAGGTTTTACCCGAGAACATATTTCATGGAGAAATTCTATGTATTCAATTAACCAAATTAAACATGAAACATCTACATATTTTTCGTCTGAACAAAGGGAATTAGGAATTGCCTGTAGGTATTATTTTAATAGTGATATAAGTAGCAAATGTCTGAATGCTCCTCTGTCACAGCATGTTCTCAGTGCTTTCCAAGGATTAATCTTCCTAATCCTCTCAGCAACCATACGGTGGCTTTCGCTTGTTTCCTCTTTCATCTTCGGGTTATTAGGAACTGTAATAGCCAGTCGCCTCTGGCTGTTAGAAAAGTATGCCAAATGGACACAGCTGCAAAATACAGTCTTAAAGCAAAAGCCTGTCAAACTTACGGTCTAAACATTTCTTACATGTAGAGAGCATGTTTTAATATTAACAGTTCCCAAAGTGCCTAGCAGAGCCACACGTGTGACACAGCAATGTAATCTTGCTGTTTTGAATGCTGAATGAATTAGTGGAGGTTGGTAAGGCTATTGTGATCACTAATGTCGCAGCCTTAGGGGTCTTCATTGGAGTGCAGCCTACAAAGTCCTACTGATGAATATAAATGGACTATGTTAAGCAGCTTTTGATTTTTTTATTTTTATTTTTATTATTTTTTTTTGAGACGGAGTCTCCCTCTGTCGCGCAGGCTGGAGTGCAGTGGCCGGATCTCAGCTCACTGCAAGCTCCGCCTCCCAGGTTTACACCATTCTCCTGCCTCAGCCTCCCGAGTAGCTGGGA